TTATATATTTTCAATATTTATCTTTTAAGTTTCCAGGTCTTGAAAATAACATATCTGGGGAGGAGTCAAATGAATTCATGAATGGATTAGGTAAAATATTTTAAGACCATATCTAGTATACTATATTTTTCTTTTATACTGTAACTACGGTATGCATGATCTTGATAAATTGCTCTTCCAGGAAAAATATGTGTTCCAGTGTTGTAGGAATTGAAATATGTAAAGCTGTAGCATTGGACTGCTAGTTAATTTAGCTCCTTAATGTATGTTTTGATATTTCAAATTACTTTTCACTGCACTATTTTTGACCAAGTAATTAAATCCACAAAAACACATAATACAGTGGAATGTAAATGGAGGTGTTAAATTCTGTTACCAGTTTGTTATAAAAGCAAATAATAGAGATTAATAATTTCACCTCCATAAAATGGATTACTAAAGCTTATTCAGCAGCTTTTTGATCTTTGGCGATAGAGTAATTATCAAGCTCAAACTTGAGTCCCAGTTCTTATATGACCAATTTCCGTTCTAACAGTGCATCACAAAACATAGGAGAGAACACATGCACATAGGGGATTCCAAAATATAGGAAATCAGAATGTAATTAATACAATTAAATAACAAAACAGCAAGCTCTCTTGTAATTTTTATAAGATTACCTGAATATGGTTCTTAGTCTGCTTAGGAAATGGAACTACCTTGTAGCTTCTTTCTTACCTTCTATTCTCCATTTTGTCTCCTTTTGTCTCTGTCCTCTCTTTTTTCACTTTTCCAGTCCTCTACCAATCCTTGTCCATCTTTAACTGATTTTGATTACCAAACAAAGCTGACATTCATTCTGGCTACCATGGTTGTGTATCCAGTATACCTAGGGTCCTCTAACACAGGGGTTTTCTAATTCTGATTCTGGAGGCTTTCATTCGTGATGGTTTTCATTCTATCTGAGTTCAATTACTTGATTGCATTATAAATTGAACTAACAAGTTGCTGGTTTGAAATGTTTGCAAGATTTCTTTCTACTATTTTATTTTACTCATGAATTGTGAGAGATAAAAGTCAACATTCAACATGTTTAAGACATAAAAATTGTCACATGTAAAAAAATGCCAAATGAATCCTTCATCATTAGTGTTATAATTGAGGGACTGGCTGGAACAAAAACCAGCAGTCGTATTGGCCTCCAGGATCAGGATTGAGAATCCCTGCAATAACAGGCATGTGGTATACAACTATTACTATTACCATTAAAGACTTTATTACTGTAACTGACGTATTTGGATGACATTTTCATTCAGAGCAACTTATATTTGCACTCATTTATACAGCTGGATATTTTACCGGAGCAATTTAAGTACGAGTACTGTACCTTGTTCATGACTACAAAAGCAGTGTCTCACTTTAGATCTGGACCAAAAACTTTCCATTTGTGAATAAAGAACACTAACCACTGCTTCACATTTCTGTCCTTTGCTTGTCGTTCCTCAAATCATGTTACAGTTAGTTAACATTTACACCCTAATAATGTAGATCATAGTTTTATTGGTAGAAATAATCAAATTTACTGGTATTTATTGCATTATCCATCCTTGGGCTTTTATTTATGCTCTTGTTGTCTCAGTTGAGAAACTTGAAGTTGAGTCTTAACATGTAAGGTTGACTTTGAATTCTGAGCCAAGCTAAGCCATTGTTAATGCTAAACAGCACCCATAAATAATTTCTTGGTTCATCTTGTCAGTTGAACTTTCTTTAGAGCACACAGATTTTGACCAGTCTTATTCATTGTTATATTTTTATGCCATTAGAATCCCTTAGTGAGATAATCTGATTTTTATCCTAAATCACTTAGGATAAAATTCACTTAATGTCTATTTTGTAAAATTTACATCAGCAATATAAGACATTCTAAAAAAACCTGGCCCCACTGAACAACTAAATTACTGTTCTTTTCCAGGGCAACAAACAACATGTATGCAAATTTTACAGTCTTACAGTCTGTCCAAGGTCATTCATTATTAATACCACTAGTAATATCTTCAGTAAAGACTTTGATCCATAAACTATTTCTGCATAATTAAAATATTTTATGATAAAGGTTGTAGGTTGTGTAGTTTTGTCCAACTGAGCAATCTTGCTTTTATAAAATATACCGACTTTTTAATGTTTAATGATTAACATGTTGTAATACACAGTTTAAAATTATTAAAAGTCTAAAGAGTATACAACCTAAATTCTTAATTGGAAAAATATTGTCTTTCAGCAGTGACCGGGATTTGAAACTATCCGTTTTCTGGCGACAGCTCAAATGCCGTACATTAGAGGTTAAGCTTTATTAGCTCCAATTATGCATAGCAATGATATTAACTTAAAAACATGCATCTACAGTAGTTGTAATCTTTGGTAAGATAAACCAAAAGTTTACGTAGTACTTTATTTGGCAGATCTTGTGACAGCAAATATGGATACGAAACACATTAACATTTTATGTACATATCTGTCTTCATAAAAGAATAACTCAAATTCAATAGGGCTGGAAAAGGTGTAACATTTTTGGTTTAACTGAATAAAGGGCACTACCATGATTGATGATTAGTACAAGGCAAGCAGGGTCCTGAAAATTAATTTAAACATAATCCAAATATAATAAACTTTGGGGTATTTCCTATGGTTCTCTTTGGTTATCTCCTACAATCAGAGGTGCTGATGAAAAATCCAACACTGCTGCTGCATCCAGTTGTGATGGATACCAGATCTCTGCTGTTCTGAGCCCTGAAGAAGTGGAGACTCTTAAAAGAAACCTTTGTGTTATACTTGGTTATGTGGATATTTATGTTTTCTCTTAAGACACAACCTTCAAATGGGACTGTTGTTCTTCTCATGCCATCTTGTGGTCACTACAGTAGGTGGGGGAATGACTGTCCTTAAAGAGTATCTTCAAAAGAGATATGCTGGTAAATTGGATGAATTTCCTGAATTGGTCTATAATATTTGTGTGGAAGGTGCCGGGAATGCTGATAGGTGGGCTAATAGAGGAGGTATTGTTGCCAACAGGTCTCAGAATAATTTGGATTCAGTCTTAAAGTTACTATCAGGTCTTACGTTATAGCTCCACATTGAAATACAAACCTTTGTACACCATTTCATGTGTAATGAAATGTATCTACCGGATGTGGTCCATATAATTGGAACTTTACTTGAAGACAGTTACAGCGCTATAGCAAAAATATTCACGAAAATTCTAAATTGCAAAAATCACAACATCGGGACCATCTAAACATGAAAATGAAAAAAAACAAAGTTTTATATTAAAGACTTACCTAATACTTTGTTTAATGTCTCTTTGAATGTATACAATCCAGTATTCTCCTTGGAATTGTGTGGTATAGATTTCTCACATAGTTAATATCAAAGTTGACCCAGATATCGTGAATAATGGCAAAAAGTTCAGCAGATGAATTTTCAATAATTTTCAATAATATTAAGGTCCGGGGCTGTGCAGGCCATACGATACACAGAATATTATTGTCTCATTTAAACTAACATAACAATATAAGTAAATTGTTAAGTATACCTGAATCTACAATTCGTTCAGTTTGGAAAAAAATATTTTCTACAAGGAAATCGTAGAAAATCGTTGTCGAACAGGTAGTTGTCCAAAAAAGATCTCACCTCATGACGGGGCCTGGTTTGTTCATCATGTTTAAAGTTACAGAAGTCGTGTTTTAAGAGATATAACCCATGATTTTAATGTAACCAAAGATTAAGGGGATTCTGTGCATCCTTGTACAGTCCAAAGATTTTTACATAAAAGGGATATAAAATGGAGAGTAGTTAGGAAGAAAAGAGTTGTTTCAGAAGTCAACTAGAAAAAATATGATTGAATGAAATGGATGAATGAAACTGAATGCATGTGTCCCTCAAGGCACCAAAGCGTTTCAGTTATGGTGTGGGGATTTATCACATACTACGATGTAGGACCTTTGTGTATGGTTGACGGAAATATTACGGCTAGAAAATATATCCAGATACTGGATGAACATTTATTGCCTGTACTGGCTCGTCATTTTTCCAGTAAACCATTCCGATTTCAATATGATAACGCATCTGTCCACAGAGTCTTCGTTGTAGATGGTTTTAAATGTCCTGTGCAGCTTAGTAAAGTGTGTAGAGTCTGTTAACAAGTAACCACCCTAAACCTGTGTACGTGTTCCGTCGGTCCCCTAATGTGTGTGTAAATACTGTGGTTGGTGTTGTTGTAAAGGTGCTGTTGTCTCCACTTGTCCTTTATCCTGCACGAACCTGTAAGCGCTACAGTACTAATGATTTTTCTTTGATATCTGGAGTGCTTTACAACAGCTTGTTGATGTATTCAATCTTGAAACATACTCTGCTTAATTGTGGCTACTTGATGTATTTGATTGACTTACAGTATCAAGGTGTATACTTTGCATTTGCAATTTAAGGAATTTTTGAGATTCCTTAAACACTTTCTTATGTTGACATTTTCATGCCCAAAATATGTGTTGTTTCAATATGTTTCCTGTATTTGTCATGCACAGTTACTTTTTGGATCAGTATATACACTATGTGAGTTTTTGCACAAGTTGTATGTATATCTACTGTATTGGAAATAAATATGCAATGAGATAAAAGTGGGAAGATAATTTAAAATTAATCATGTGCATTATTAGGTTTTTTTTTCTTAAAATTAAATGTTATCTAATACAGTATAGTACTAAAATACTACAACATGAAAAGTCAAACAGCCTTCAATGCAAACAGGATATTTGTAAAACATTATTATGTGATAGCTGAACATTCTGCACCTTTATTGTGGAATTTGGGTTGTAACCATTGTAAGAGATTTGTGACGCAAAGCACAGCAAAGTAAAAAAATGAAGATCCAATCAAAATGCTATTTTGATTTGCGTTTGTAAAAGGTCTTGGGGATTATGTACAGTACAAGGTCTGTGTTGTTTTAGCTGGACCATGGGCACAACTGCAGTTTTTTTTCCCTAAAGCTTTCGGCAAATGCGGAAATACGTTTTAACTAACATTTTACTATTTTATTATTTCCTGTTTTTTTCATGTTCATTACTAAACCTGCACTGCAAGGCAATGATACGAATAGCATTTGATCGTTTTGCTAAATCCTAGCAAAATATGTCGTACAAACCTATTTCCACTAGTGCGTGTAATGTTACAGCCCAGCCTGAAATGGAGGTTGTTTCCTCATAGAAACACTGAACTGGCGGCGTGGGTTTGGCCCGACCCTGCTGAGCAGCTATGGGCTACAATGCAGGTGAGAGCTGACGTCAAGCTACACCAGCTACAATGACACTGCACTGAAATATGTGAAGATGGCAGTGTTTTCTTTTGTCTATGAGCTTTAGAATTTAAAATTAGAAGCGTCTTTCTCTTCAAAGCGCGGCTGTAGTCAATGGAGCGACGTGAAACACGGTATGGAGACTCGTTGTAAAGATGATGCTTGAAAAGAAGAAACGTTTTGGCAGATCCAATTAAATCGCCTACCACCTACAGTAGGGCGGCCGAGGAGGTATACCGCAGAAGAGCTTCTACAAAGCCTCAATAGAAACCTAGGTGAGACTTTTTAATATATATAAACTGCTTTTTACTTTGTTTTTTAAATACAATAATAGATATAAACGTATGCTCCTTTTGACATTTTTAAGATCTCGATTGTTTAAGCTTTCCGGGTATATCTGTACCTGTTTATATATTCGTTTCGCGATTTGTAAAATGTATTTTTTTATTTAGTGAGTGTATTACAAAGACTACGTAGACAAGGGCGGCTGTTTTATATATAATTATTTATGTTTGTACTTATTTGAATTCTAGCGAGGGACCAACGTAATTCGCAGTGTTTAATATAAACAGTTAGCAAAAAGCAACCTGTTTCATACAAATACAATGTAAATAATATGCCTTGAGAACATTAAACAGGAAACACCCAAGGATATGCGCTTCCGCAAACGTAATTCGAAATGTTCAGAAGAAACGGTCAGTGGAGGTTTTAGCCATATATACGTTAATACATAGTAATCAGAATATATTTAGTTGGTGTGTATTAATTTTTCAACTATAACTTTTTCAATAGTTATATTTATAATTTACCATTTGCGTAACACAGTAATATTGTCCGAATACTTTAATAAATTGATCTGTTTTACTGGCTAAGAAAGTAACGTGTGCGCAGTATTGTAAAACAGTTATTTTACAAGTTTTCAATACATCTTTGAATTCCAGTGATACTGCTGTGAAAATATAGCTCGTATGAGTTATTATTTATTATTAGTTGGCCCTTTACTTGATGTTTGTGAAACTAATTAAAATCAACTGTACATTTTCTTCACGCATAAATCCCAGTATATTCTTCAGTTCATATAGAGGCACTCTGTCGGTGCTAGTCGATTCAACATTTTTTGGCACTTCAGTTAATAAGAGAGTAATTACACACTCGTTGGATCTGAACGATCAGTGTTGTATTTAGATTAATATATTTATGTTGTATTTATATAATGAGATCATCATTATGGCTACTGCAGTTGTCATGACAATAAATGGATGGATGGATAGTTTAACCAAACTGCACAGTTTTATTGCCAGGAAAATCTGTACTGTCTGTTTGTTCTGTGCTTCGAATTAAAACACATTCAGTTTGATGTTTAAGGATTAAAGCAAAACAGAACAGCAAATGTTTATTTTAATACTCATCATGTATTACTTGTTTTTAAATGTATTGCAACTTAAAACATTTTTAAATGTATTACAGTTGTTTACAGTAAGAATTGTAAGTATTGAGACATAGTGTCATTTTTGCAGAGTACTAAAGAACTGTTTCAAATCAAAAGATAAATATAAGGCAAAAGTATAGCATTTCTGCCTTTGTTTCTGGGTATCATTTTGCATACAGTGCATATTTAGCTGTGTTAGAAATGTAATTCGTTGTGTTCAATCCCCCATTTCAGGTAAGCAAATGTATTGGAGCAAATTAACTAAAAGTAAATTAGTCTAAAGTTAGTATTTGGTTGTACCACCCCAATACGCATACTTTTCACTATATACAGTATATTTAGGGTTGTAATGTGCTATTTATTAGATTTGTTTTTCTTTTCAAAGAATGGCAAGTGATGACAGAGTGGCAATTTTGACGGAGGATGAAGAAGAACAGAAGAGGAAATATGTTCTGGCTGAACCATTCAATACCTTGTCTTTTGATCAGGTGTCTGGATCTCCTGTAGTCTCACCACCTTCAGAACCACCTTCATCTGCTGAGGAGGATGAAATAGATTGTTTAGAGAAGAGCTGCATAAAAATTGATAATCATCTCCTTATTTCAAAAGTCTTTTACTTCTTTTTTTATGCAGCTTATGGATCTTTACATCCTTTGCTACCAGTATATTACAAGCAGCTGGGAATGACACCAAGCCAGAGTGGTCTGCTCGTAGGGATCAGATATTTCATAGAATTTTGCAGTGCTCCCTTCTGGGGAGTGGTAGCTGACCGTTTCAAGAAAGGAAAAATTGTTCTCCTTTTCTCAGTTTTGTGTTGGATTCTGTTTAACTGTGGAATAGGTTTTGTGAAGCCTGCTTCAATGACTTGCACTCCAACTACAGTTCCAACCAATGCCACTGTTATGTCAACCTCTACCCTCCCTGTTACTTCAGCTTTAACGACTGCACCAAGACAGAATATAACCAAGAGCCGCCAGAAAAGGGACTTGTATGGTGAACATTTCCCCCTACCTTCTTTTCAGTTGGAACCAATTTTAATCTCCCGGCAAATCAGGAACATAAAAGCAAACATGTCCAGGGAAAACGAAACCTACCCACAGTCAAGTCCTGCCAGTTCTACTACCAGAACCACAACTCAAAGCACAATAAAAACCACACATGGAAACAGAATTGATTATAACAAGGACCAAGTAGAGACTATTTTTCTCTTGATTCTTTTAGTAGTAATAATTGGTGAGTTCTTTAGTGCCCCTGCTGTTACCATTGTGGACACTGTTACCTTGCAGTATTTAGGCAAGCACAGAGACCGCTATGGACTACAAAGGATGTGGGGCTCTCTAGGCTGGGGACTGGCCATGCTTTCAGTTGGCATTGGGATCGACCACACACATATCAAGATGTTCATTGAAGGCACGGGCTGCATTCAGCCTGATTATAAAAACTACCAGATTGCTTTCATTGTATTTGGAGTCCTAATGACGATTGCACTGATAGTGACCACACAGTTCTACTTTGACAATAGCCATTATAAACAAGAGAAAGAAGAGGAAATTGAAATCCCACAGGTTGCCCACAATGTTACTGCTGCAGGCAGCTCTGAAGACACCAGTTCTACCACTGTTTCTACCAGCACAAACCGTGGCCAGTTCCATTACAGAGATTTGATTGTACTTATGTGCAGTGTGCGTTATGCCACAGTCCTCTTTGTTGCCTGGTTTATGGGTTTTGGCTATGGCTTTGTGTTCACATTTCTCTACTGGCACTTGGAGGACCTGAAGGGGACAACAACACTTTTTGGTATTTGTTCTGTGCTGAGCCATATATCTGAGCTGGCAGCCTACTTCACCAGCCACAAGCTCATTGAGTTAGTTGGACATGTCAGGTATGTTTTTAACATTAAATATTTGAGATGGCAGCTCTAGTATCACTTAGATATTTAGATATATATGTTAAGTGATAGTACTTTGTAATATCGCTTAATATCAAGTACATTTTGTAAATAAATATTTTCAAGTTCATAAGAAAGCTGAAGTTTGAATATTGCTGAAAACACTAAAAACAGTATAATTCAAAAATGTTTTGTTGTAATTATTACAGCACAGTTGTGGTGAAAATTATTTCCTTAAAGACAAACTTTGTTCAGTGCACTCTTATTTGAGCTGCAAGTCAGTCAAGCCTCTTTTAATGTTTGAAATATGATACACTATACATGGCTTTAAAGACATTTTAACAATATCTAAAATAAAATTATATGTTTGAATAACTATTTGTACACAATTACTAATAATTCTGTATACTGTATGTAATTATACATGAACATAATCTTGTTATACAACTCTTTGCTTAGGAAACCCTACAATTTACAAGATCTTATTGTCTCGTGCTCTCTGTATTGTACACCATGTGTGACCCAAACACCACATGTTATGCTGTATTCAGCTGGATCAAATGGATCTAGGAATATTTTACAGTACGCCTGATGTGTATCTGTAGGCTATGTTTATTTAATCAGGACCATTGTATATGAGTAGTTCAAGTAGGTAGCTGCGTCAGCATGTGTAGGCTGCAAAGGAACAAGTAAAGATTTATTCCATGATGAAAAGAGAAGAAAATATACAACTTTTCGCTGTGGAGCCTTCTTTAGGTATGAAAAAGAGAGGACAGTCAGCAGCTAATGAAGCAAGGGAGAACAAAAGCCGGGAGTGGAGAGGAGGCGGGAGCAGGAGAGAAGCAGAATGAACAGGGGTGGTGTGAACAGAAGAGAAAACCTGCAGATGAATAGAGAGGATTAGAAGGAAACAAGTCTGTCATTGAGAGGCAACAACAATGATAATGATAGATTTGAAAATAAAGAGTTAATCTTGTACACTGGCTTCCTTAAATCTCAGTGTTCATTAATTGAGGGGAAGGCAGAATGCATTTTTAAACGAGAGATTGAATAGATAAACTGCAGATTAATACATTTGTATTTTATCAGATTCACAGAGCACACTGAGAATTATTCACATACTTTCTGGATCACAATACTAGGTTTTCAAGGTCTCAGAATAAAATATGAATTTGTAATCCTGTAATCCCTAGACAAACTAATGATGAATTTGCAGACTGTTCCAATTTTATTTCTCTTTGTTTTACAGACATTGCAAAAATGAATCTCCAGGTCAAGATATTCTCCTTGACAAATTAACTTGCATGTAGAATATTATAGATCTAATTCTTCCAAAATGTTTTGTATCTTGGCAGTGACGCAGGATTAGAGGAAACCTACATGTTGCATATGTTATCTGTTAATGCGTCCATTTACCTATGACTTTTTTAAAACTTCTTTCAGTATATCCAATTGTGAAAAAGAGCTTTGGTGATGTATTTAGCTGAACATACTAGAAATACAATTGAGGTCTACTTCTTGATACAGACCTGTTAAAAGCAAACTAATATCAGCTCCAACTAATATTTTTCATTATAGAGCAATTTATGACGTGATGTCCTGCAAACTGAGGATTTGTTTGTTTATTTTGCTTTACAAGAGTTTTGTTTATAATCTCGTTATTGAATTATGCATAGATACAATCAATATTTGAATTTTCATATTGTAAAAATTGAATTTGTAAATGCTACACACCAGATCATGATTTGTATTCATTATTGCATAAAATTAGTAGTGGGAATGTCTAAAAGTCTCTTTTGGAAGAGCAACTAGCAGCAGTTGTGATTAGTGTCCAATTAGTTATTAGCAAGTTTTTAGCAATTTTTGAAGTCTGGTGCTTAAAAGTCTTCACAATAAATAAGCTTTGTAACTTGTACTGACATTCCGCATTTTTTACATATTACAGTAATGCAGTTGCTACTAACCCAGTATTTGTCTTAAATACAAATAATATTTCACCACAAAACAGTGTTTGAGGCGCTCAACATAGCTTAATCAGTTTTCAGCTTAAATAAAAACATTTACATTAAACACAGAATGATTAATTCTGTGTGCAGTATAACTAAATTTGATATCACATGTCAGCATGCACTGTTTTTGAATCTCTTTTCCATTGCAGAGTATTGTATATTGGTTTGGCCTGCAACACCGCTCGTTATCTCTACATCTCCTATCTAGAAAATGCTTGGATTGTTCTACCCATGGAAGTGCTTCAAGGTAAGAGAAAACATGTAGCTCAGACTATAATGGAAAACATTACATTTATTTAATTTTTTAGTATCTTACTTTAGCACTCCACAGTGTGCTACATTGCACACGTGTGACTCAAATGCGCAGTAGTTCTCCAGCAATACCATCTAAATATATTAAACTCTTCCAGCTACATCTTTATTAGTAATAGCCAGAATATTTATTAAGGTTCTTCGTTGTAGCCTAAACCTAAATGTGGAAGTGTTGCAACACCATTTCTAAATAAAATATTGTAAATGACTGTAAGATGTTGTACAATTAAAATGTTGAAAATTTGCTAGTATAGACTTTCTCATTGTGTTGGAAAATATAAGCTTTACCAATAAGAGGAGATCATTTGGGCCCATGTACCTCATTATCTCATTTATTTTTAGTTGCTAATCTAAGGTTCTCATCTAGTCATATGTTCAAAGAAGTGATGGTATCAGCCTCAACAACATGGCCAGGTAAACTGTTACTGACACCCTCAATCTACTATGTAAATGAATTCTTGAATCATGTCCTTTGTGGTTCAATTGTTTAGTGATTAAAAAGGTATAGGTATTTTATCCTATTAGTATACTTATTCTTGAGCCCAAGAATTAATAAGCTCACTCTTCACTGTATTGACTAAAAGAGCAGCAAACATCTGTATTTTGATTACCAGAATATTCTAAATGTGGTCTCACTACAAATGACAAGTTTTTGTTACCAGCAAGTGACAAGTCAGCACTTGTCTACATAGTCTTCTGCCTAGTGATTTCCCAGTCTTAGAATTCAATCTACTGTAGATCTTTTTGAATTCCCTTTGTACAGATCCAGCTATTCAAAATGAGAGAGGTATGTTTTTGTAAAACATGGTGTATGTACTGCAACATACTGCATGTTTTTTTTAAATAGGGTAATAGTATCCGGAAGTACCTTGTAAAACTGCCAGGTGGAGCTAGTAAGGGTTAACTTTTCATGTACAGTGCCTTGCGAAAGTATTCGGCCCCCTTGAACTTTTCAACCTTTTGCCACATTTCAGGCTTCAAACATAAAGATATAAATTTTTTATTTT